CTTCCAGGGTCAAAGTCCAGCCTAACGTAGTGAGCCAGGGCGCTGGGCGAGTCACCAATCCATCTCATTCATCTTGAAAGTGAGCATTTTATTCCAGATGAGAACTCACATCCTCAGCCTCCTACTTGCCCAGATTCTGTCATCACGTTGCATTTTCCCCTCAGAGGAGGCCACGGTGGTCACAAGCTGATTCTGCCAATGACACATAGGTACAGGCAGAGCAAATCCACACACTTTTCACTTTGTAACTTCCCCGGGCTGGGTGGGTTCTCAGATTTACCACCCTAGGCATCTAGCATCTTAGATGATAACCATGCTCCTGTTTGCAAAACGCTGTCTAGTTACAAAGCATATCCACCTGCATTATTGCATTCAGTACTCCCACTCATCCTGGTAATTACACCTCCAATTTTATAAAGAAGAGAAGCTAGACTCAGTACAAATGATCCCGAACGCTGGGTCTGTACGTGAAATACGGAGCTGGGGTGAGGCCTAGTCTTCCAAGGCCAACAGAGCTCTTTCTAGCCGACCTCACTGCCTTTGGGGCAAACGCCACTCTCAGACCGCCTCCCACTAGTCCAGGCTGGGCAACGATCTCTTCTCTTTCCCATCCTCCTTCCCCAGGCCGTTCTTTTCACTCGGATGAACACTAACTCAAGAGCAAGCAAGGGAACTTCCAGCTTGCTCCTGGCTTCCTTAGGAAACCCCCTGGCTGACACCAACAGTTTGAAAGAGAGTGAGCGCTCTGCCATTAGGGGTGTTCAAGAAGACATTGGATGACCATCTGGCAAAGATGTGGTAGAGGAGATTCCTGATTATTTCGCAAAACTGACAAGATTTCCGAGGACCTTTCCAAATTTGAGAGCAGAGGACTCTGTGCTTCGGGAGACAGCCTGTTTCGGAAGCTGACTGGGCAGAGGCCCAAGCTGAGGGAATATAGACAAGTCTGGAGAAGGAAATAAAGAAAGAGAGAAGAAAAAAAATCTGAAAGTGATTGTGAAGACGAAAGCAGATTCCTCGCTTCCAAGAAAGAGACTTGGAGCACCAACAGGGATGAGGAGACAAACTGAGCTGATGCCTGGAGAGGAAGTTAGGGGAAATGTCAGTGTTTCTCAAATAGCCTTGCCCAGAAAATGTGTCAACAAACACCCAGCCAAACTTCACCGACTACAACTCCGGCAACACAGCGGAGAAGCAGAGGAGGAGCAGTCTCTTGAGAGAGAAGCACTTGAATTGAGTTAAAAATACATTAAATTCACAATCAATCAAAAACGCTAAAGGCCCAGAGAATATATTTGGACTGGACGTCTTCCATTTCCCTGAAAGTAGGTGGTGTGGGATTCTTTTTTAAGCATTATCTGAATCAACATTGGGATTGGAGGAAGACTAGCCTTGTAGTGAGAAATCTGCCTTTCACCTTTTAGCCAAGCAGTATCCTGAATGCAGTTCCAGAGGGAACTCTAGGGACTTTTCCTAAAATGGAAACCAGGTCCAGAATGCATCTTTCCAGCCTGGCAGGCTGAAGGGATAAACAGATTCAGGTGAAAAACAGGATTCCTTTTTACAGTATCCTATGGAATGCCTTTTCTTCCTGAAATCCCCTTCCACTCCTCTTTTCAACCATGGGTACAAAGACTTTAATAAGTTTAGAAAGAAATGTCTCAAAATAACTCCTTTCTTACACATGTAAAACATTGAGAAAATATAGATGCATCAAGAGAAGGGAATACATATTCTCTGTTTCTCTCCTACCCAAAAATAACATTTTGGTATGTCTATCACATTTAAAATTGTTTTAATTTTTTTGTTTTGGCATGGCTCAAAATCTAAGTGACATTAAAAAGATATTCCTTGAGAATTGTTGCCCCTCCCCTTCCCCGTCCATCACGTTTCCCACTCACCCCCACCTTCTCAGGTGAACTCGACTGTTTTTACATTCTCCTAATGTCTAATGCAAATACAAGTACGAACGTAAACTCTTATTTTACACCTGTCTTACTACAAAAGGTAGCATATCACATAATTGCATTCAGCTTTTTGACTTGACAATATATTCTATTGCTTTTTTTAACGTATTTATGCAAACATTAGTTTTTACTGAAATGGGATCATACTTCCGTAACTTGCACTTTTTTACTTAAAAATTGTTTGTGGACCTCTTTGCATATTTTCAAATATTCTTCCACAGTATCATTTTCAAAGGCTGCAGTGTCTGGAAAAGCCCTGAAATATCACTGGGGCTGTTTTCTGCCTCCCCCACGATAATCTCTGAAATAGAAAAGAAGAATGTGCTGGCCTTTGGAGCTGAGAGGTCTGTGGATGACATCCAGCTCAGCCAGTTACCAGATGTGAGAATTTAGGCAAGGCCGAATTTAGGCTCTGAGCCTCAGTTCCCAACACTAACACTTCTCACTCATAGTATTGCCAGCTTCGCGTCTACCCCAGGGCTACAGTGAGAATTAAATGAGACAATGGTTAGAAAATGATCATCCAAAACATA